CCACAGGCCCCCCCCCCCCCCCCCCCCCTTCGCGCGCGGATCTGTATGGATTTACAACAGATTTTAACATATCAAATAGCTAGATCAATATGTAAATAAAGCATGAAGTAAAAAACCATCACAATCATGAAGAAAAATTAATTATAAATGTATCCACCTACCTACACATATTACCAATTCATTACAAGAGGAAAGTACAAGGGATCTACTCACAATGCATGGAATAAACACAATAACACATCATCTTATAATAAACAAGGTCATACAAAATGAGTTTATACTAATACAAGACAATATGTAATAAAAGACTTATCTTTCTCCCTAAGAACTAAAGAGAAAATTCCTCCCCATGTCATCTCCAAGTCCTCCTGCACTGCGAACAACAGTCTCTTACAATTTCACTCAGATTTCTCAAAGGAAATGCAGAGAAATGAATAACCTAGATCTATTCTCCCTTTCTTCTTCTTAACTAATCCAAAATGTTCTCCTCTTGTTTTGAACTACCTCTCTCGGAATTAACCCCTAAATTCTTTGTAAAAATGCAAGGCGCCACAGACTGACGCCAAGGCGCCACAGACTAGCGCCATCTTCTCAGGAATGTTTAGGAAATCATTAGCGCCTAGGTGCTAGTATGTGGCGACATGACGCCACTTTCTCTGGTGTTTGGACATAGTCTAGCGTTTAAGCTCCCCATATACGGCGCCATCGCGCCATTGAATGGTGCCTAAGCGCCAAAAGCTGGCGCCTAGGCGCCAGTTCACTTTTTGCTCCATTCGCCTCTTATTTACTCCGGTTCTGCTCCAATTTGCTCTAAATTTTCTATCTTTGATATCTGCAGCAAAAACATAAAAATATGTTCTTTTAAAGTGCAATTTCATCAAAAATAAGTATTAAATATAAAGTAAAATTTAACATGCTACCATACATGTCAAAATTCTCTAAACTAAAATTTACTTGTCCTCAAGTAATACTACAATTTTAAAAAACTAGTTGATTTAAGGTAGTGTGTTTCTTCAGAATTTCTTAAAATTTTATCTTAAGAATGTCATAGTGCAATTTAAGGGAAATTTTAGTGAATAGGGCTAGGACTAATGTATAAGAATATCTTGTATTCAACTTAGGAATTCTGATTTTTTATTTCAAAATCAAATTGCAATTTGTCAAACTTGAGATTCCTAGAAAATATAAAAGACAGAATTTCAAGCACTCTAGTAATAAATATTTAACTAATAAAATTATGAAATAAAATCAAGCTTAAGATTGTATCTAAGTTTTCTCCTTTAAGAAATTTCAAGTGAAACTAATTTTTAATTAGGTTTCTCCTCAAGTTTATCCTTATTTTTCATTTCTTCTATCTTTTTTTTTTATTTTTCTTTTAGGATCTTTTAGGATTGTTTTTATGGACGATTTCTCAGTGTTTGAAATCTCATTTGAGTCATGTTTGGATCAACAACTTGATCCACCGCCAGGGATTAGCACTTTTAATATAAATCCTGGTAGAGACACCACCAAAAACTTGATCTGCTCCATAGCAAATTGATTGAGTTCTTAAAATTAGTTATTATTACTCATTTGGGTTTCTCGCGCAAGCATACGTAACGTTTCAATAATAATGGGCTCCATTGAGTCCGGATGTCGATCCCATAGAGAACGAGATAACGAGTCAAGGGAACTTCTAGTCTACTACGCCAATGTCTCAGTTTGGAATGTCGATTAAGATTTGTTTTCCTAACAGCTACTCCTAAGTTAAGATTATATGACTATGTTAAACCTATCTAGATCAATTGGGTTGGTGAATATCAAGATATAAAAGCTACATTTCTCTTGTGATTGTACAAGTAAATTGTAGGATCAAATACTATGAATTGCTAATGTGGCTGGTGACAAATAGGAACATTCCTCATTTTTATCCTGTCTAGTGCATAAAGAAGTTTGGATAACTTAATATTAATTCCTTAAACCCTAGATTACATTAGCTACGACTTTAGCCTGCCACCCTAGAGTCTCCAGTTTATACTCTCAATTTAGCTAACCTAGTTTTAATTCATTAAACACTAGATTAAATTGGTTAAGATTCTAGCCTGTCAGCCTAGAGTCCCCAATTTACACCTATCAAATCCTATTCTCTATCTATTTGCATTGCATTATGGACTACTTTTCTTTCACCCATTAGTGCAATGTGGTTTCTTCTAGTTGTTAAAGCTATAGCTCTCTCGAGTCATTATTGATTCACAACAAATTTTAACATACCAATTAATCAGATTGATAAGTAAATTAAGTATGAAGTAAAAACCATCACCTTAAGATTTAAAGATCAATTCTATAAGCATTCTAACATCATACACATTCAACTTATTCATCACAAGAGAAGGGTAAAGGAATTCTACTCACAAATCATGTTTAATACAACATAAAACTTCATTACATCAAAATAAATCCACTAAATATGTGTTTATAACAGATACAAGTAAATAAAGAACACAATACTTAATATTTTCTCTCTGAAAAAGAGATGCAAAT